ACTTTACTCTCCACTCTAGCCCTCTGTGGCTATGTCACTGACTCTGGGCCCAAGAGTCCCCAGGTCTTGCCACACTGCTGGCCAACTATCAGTCTCTCTTTTCCAGAGCAACGGAGAAAAAAGAAAACCAAAGACCTTGAAGAGAAAGTAGTGTACCTACTAACAGACTACATAAACCATTGTCCATTTACTCTGAGACCAGAATTACTAGATGGTACCTGGCTACCACTAACTGTTATGAACAGAATCACAATAGATGGATACTGATATGGGAAAATATGGGGAACAGAACTAAACAAACAAACAAACAAAAAAACTCCCAGACTTAGTGAACCAGTTGAGCCTAGAAGACTCCCTGAGAGTCCTGAGATAAATTTTATACCTTAAACTGAAATTATACCTTGAGGTCACTTTTTAAAATAAAACAGATCACCATGTTGTGTCAGGGAGAGTATATTGTAGATGTTTCACTGTGAAGCTGGATCTGTAGGGGTCATTTTCCATCAGCCCTTCTTTTTCAGGCAACAGTAAACATTCCCCCTCCCCCACCCCAATTACTTCATCATGGTGATAAGCTGCTATCCATCTTGATCCATTGGAGGGAAGATGCTACTGCTGTGTGCCATAGAATTAGTTCTGATGCATAGCTACCCTGTTTAAGGTTTCCGAGACTATACATCTTTATGGGAGCCGAAAGCCTTATCTTTCTGACACAGAGCGGTTGGTGGATTTGAACTTTTGACCTTGAGGTTAGCAGCCCAATGCGTAACCCACTATGCTACCAAGACTCCTTTGAAGGCAAGATTGTTGTTGTTAAGTACCATCAAGTCAGTTTCAACTCACAGCAACCCTGTATAAAGTTTCCAAGGAGTGGCTAGGGGGTTTGAACTACCGACCTTATGTTTAGCAGTCCAATACTTATCCTACAGTGTCACACCAGGACTCTATCTATTTCATTCCTGAATTAGATGCCTTAATCAGGGTTCTCTGGAAAAACAGAACTGGAAGGAAGATGGGCAGGATCAATTCAAGACAGAGTAGCTTATCTAATAGGTAAGACACTCAGAGGTATAAATAAAGATTATTTTGCTGCTTTCCTTGGACTTGTTGTATAAATACCTGATGCCTAATAGAAATATGTTATTTTTCTGACACTAGACTGAATCTTCCTGCCTTCCAAATTCCAAAGGGCAGTCAAGAGACTACATTTGTTTGATCAGTCTTCCTTCCTTTAGGGCAGGGGCCATACCTTAATTGTCTTTGATCACTTGTGCCCACCAGTCCTGGCACATAGCAGATGACCAACAAATGCTAAGTAAATGACTGAGTGGTTAGAGTGAGGATGGGGTGAGTCTTTATAAGAATTGAGAGAAATGCTTTTGCTGAGCATCTAGTTACCTTAAAGAGAAAGGTGAGGCTGGGCCAGAGAGTCACATGGTGTTCCTGGTGGGAATGGGCAGCAGAGAATAAAAAGTGGTTTCTTATAGATTCTTATAGAGTCTGGTGAAATTCACACCTTCCAGTTTCATGTTCTATTGTCTCATTAGTCATTATACCATGTGCATTTATTTGGTTCACAGGCAACTTTTGTTTCATTTAACAGTTTTAACTCTATCTGAAGTACCACCATACCACTGACTCAGTGGCTCCAATTCTGCAAGCTAACTGCCTTGATCAGTTTAAAATTAGATATCGTTTTATCCAGCTGATTGGACTGGTTCAGGTGTACTACCAATAGATGCTCAGTACATCTCTTTCCTGTAGTCAGTTCTTTGTAATTTTTTCCCTTGCCTGGAGAGAAAATCACTGGGTTATTCAAAATCAACTTCACTGTTAACATAATATCCATGTCATGGCTCCCCTTAAAACTCATTCATAGAATTTGCAAACTGGAAGTTAACTAGAGATTATTGATTGATTGAGTTTCCCAGGTGAAGAAATGAGTGCTTAGAGAGCTGAGCTCTGTCATAGTGAGTTAGGATTGGAATGAAGGACTCACAGCGTCGTCTTGGCTCCTTTTCCTTCTATTGCCAACCTGCAAATGCAGCCACACCTGCCCAGAGCATGTTCAGTTCAACCCTCTCTGCATTTTCTGTGCAACTAGTGTCCTTTCTGGGCAGCTCTAAATCATCTGCTCTATTGTTGTTGTTGTTATGGAGCCGATTCTGACTCATAGAGACCCTATAAGGGTTTCCGAAGCCATAAATCATTGTGGGAACAGAAAACCTCATCTTTCTCCAGTAATCATCTGCTCTTATTGTTGTTGCTAAGTACCGTGGAGTTGGTTCCAACTCATCTTTCTCGCGCGGAACAGCTGGTAGTTTTGAACTGCCGATGATTCATAACCACTACGCTACCAGAGCTTCTAATCATCTGCTCTAGGGGGGCAAAAATGGGCAGACGCAAAATGTTCACAGGTTACTTTTCCTTGGAATGTTTTGGGTTATTTTCTTTTTTTCTGGTCTGACTCTTAATGGTGCTGACTTTAAGGTTATTGTTACATTAACTGAAAGTTAAAGACGCTGAAACACATACCATATTGGTGGAATTCATTCCTACTCATGATGATCCCTTGTGTTACAAATTAGAACTGCTCCATGGTTTTTTTGTTGTTGTTTTTTACTGTAATCTTTAAGGATGCTATATGCATTGGAATGTACTCCATGACAGTGAGTTTGGAATCTTTAAGGAAGCAGTTTGCCAGTCCTATCTTCTGCAGAACTTCTGGTTGGGTTCCAAAGGGCAACCTTTAGGTTAGCAGCCAATTGCAAAGAGCTTGTGGGCCACATGGGCTCTAAAAGCACAGGTAAATTAGCTGAAAATCTGCCATCAACAGAGCCTCCTGAGGCTGACAGTGTACTGCTGGCTACTAACCAGCCTCCAAAACATCCAGGTGTTACCGAATGGGATCCTAATTGACTCCGTACTATATGCTTGGCCAGAGAAAGGGGTAATTCAGGGATGTCTAATTTAGAGTTCTGCCATGAGTTAATGCTCTGGACTGCATAGTATGGTTGAACTGCAAAGGTCGGCAGTTCAAGCTCACCAGCCTCCTTGGAAACCCTAGAAAGGGTCGCTATGGGTTGGAACCTACTCAACTGCACATAACAAGTTAGAGTCTTGGTGCTGCAGTGGTTAAATGCTGGGTTGTGAACTGAAATGTCAGCTGGAGTGGCTTAACCTCACCCACCTAGGAATCAGACGTGGCAGTCTCGTTCTGCAAAAATTGCAGCTTTGGGAACCCTATGGGGCAGTTCGATTCTGAGTTGGAATTGACTGGATGACAATGGATTTGGCTTATTTAATTCAGAGTTGGGCGGCTGTCCTCCATCCCTCAACTGGTCCAGCGGCTTTACTAACTAACCTACAGAGACTTCTTGTTGTTAAGTGCCGTCGAGTCGGTTCCGACCCATAGCGACCCTGTATAGGGTTTCTGAGGAGCAGCTGGTGAACTTGAACCGCCGACCTTGCAGTTCAAACGGCTTTTCAGTCTGACACCACACCAAGCGTCACACAGCGCCACACCAGGGCTTCTGATTTTCATTTTGGAATAGGCCTTAACATGTGCTCTGGGCAAGTAATTTAACTTCTCCAACACGGGTGACCTGGGACTTCAAAAGGAAAAAAAAAAAAAAACTTCTCAAAAGGAATAGTCTGGGATAGGGTATTTAGGAGGGTGGGTAGATAAGAAAAAGAACAACCACCAACCTAATGGAAGTGTGTACGCTGCTCTGCAGGCTTCCAGGCTCCGGAGCCACGTCCACCCACCCCACCCCACCCCCACCCCCGGGGACTGCCTGCCAGGTAAACCTACTGGCTCAACCCGGGGAGCCCGGACTACTGAGGCCAAGGGGGCGCCTTTCTCTTTAAGAGCCCCACAGGCAAGCCTGATTGGCTGTAGCTATGCAGGTCTTTCTTCTCCAGCTCCCTCTGAGTGCTCCCTCCCCCATAGCTTTTTCAGCTTTCTACAATCCTCAACCCCCCACCCCCCGCCTCTTAACACTCGCCTCTTCTTCCTCGCAGCTTAGTTCAGCCCCACAGAGGCATGGGTGATATGGCAGCAACAGATGCTGGGCGCCCAGATTTGCATCCTTAGGCCACGCTGAGAGCCTGAAAAGAGCAGGAACCAGAGAGGAGTGCTGGGAAGGCGGGGACAGGAGGCGCGGAGAATCCCCCCTAAAAAGGCAGAAGCTCCCGCCCCCATCGTGAGCTCCGCGCAGGCTGAGCGTCTGTCTCCCGCTGTAGCTGCATCCCGAGCGACCTCTCCCCATCATGCGAGGCCCTAACACAGATGGGACGAAGGTCCCCTTCTGCAACGCCAAGGAGGAAATCTCTGCCCGGGTCGAAACCTCGGAGGACGACAGCGGCCAAGAGAGGCCGGACGCGCGCCGGCAGCGCCAGAACATCGTCTGGAGGAACGTTGTTCTGATGTGCCTGCTCCACCTGGGGGCCGTGTACGCGCTGGTGCTCATCCCCAAAGCCAAGCCTCTCACTCTACTCTGGGGTAAGTGCCACCTGCGCCCCCTGCGCCCCGGGCGCGCACCGCGAGGCGCCAGAGGTCGCCGGTCGCAGCTCAGCGGCGGGCGGTGTGGAGCTCCCTCAGCTATCCCCTCACCTCTTCCCAAACACCCCGACCCCTGTGAATCCAGTTCTCTGTCCTTTGGGACCGGCAGATATTTCTGCCCAGGTATTTTAAACTTCTTCCTCCCTGGCTATCTGCCTGCGAAAGCACATTTGCTGGCTCCTTGATGTAGAGCTGGGAGAACTCGGCGTCCTACGGCGCCATGGGTGTGCGCAGAGGCGCGCAAAAGGAGATGCTGGCCACTGTCTAAACCCAGCTCCGAGAGAGGGAGGACCAGAGTGATGATCGTGTCGCCAGTGCAGGTCCCAGGGGCCTCCTTCTCAGCTCCGTAGTCTCCTCCGCGGGTCACGGGAACGAGGAGCGAGTGTAAGGGAGGGAAAAACCTGGCGCGGGATCGAGTATAGGTTTTCGCATCGGAAAAATCACTTCCCTTCCCTGCATCTTCAAGGCCACTATCCCTGCCCCCTTCCACCCAAGCAGTCATCTTTGATACCCAATTGCAGTTCTCTGGGCCCCGAAGTTTATCCGCAAGAAAACCAAGTCCATGGCTAGCGCGCTCTTCACACAGCACAAAGCTCCGACTGCGGCTGTGCAAAGCCTCCTTCCTTCCAGACCCCCAGTTGCCCGCTGGCCAGATCCGGTCTGTTCCCCGCACCTGTGGCACTCTCCAGTCTCTCTTCCCACCCCTGTTGGCAGAGGAGGGATCCCAGTGGCCCACCATTCCCCGGTGACTCCTGGGGTTTCACGCCTACCATGTTTGACCCCCGTCACTGACCTCTGAAACACCTCAGATTTTCTTTCCCCCACCCTCCGCTCCCAATAACTGGTTTTGGCCTGGGTCACCTTAGCGGCAGTAGCAGTAGCCAGGACCAAAGGCGCAGGCATTGATATCTTGGGCTGAGAATCCGACGAGGTAATCTAAGAAGCCCTTTCAAGTTCCCATTTCAGAGATCTCTAAGGAACGGAGCAGGAGAAGGACAACCTACTTTTATTGCCAGAGGGAAAGAGGAAAAAAGAAATTTAAAGACCTCTTTCTTCAAAGCTCTTTATTTGGCAAGATGCCAGCTTCAGATGCCTAGGTAGTTAATGGGGTTGCTCAGGCGCCAACTCTTCCCCAAAACACGTGCAGCCCCTGCTCTAACAAGTAGACCCATTGAGAACATGGGTACATTTTAGAGGGATGTGACTGAGGGATTGTAAGGGCAGCAGGGGGGTTTTGGGAAACAATGAAAAATTTTAGTTCCCCTAAAGCTTCCACTAACTGCCTACCTCATCCTTTCTCAATCTGTTCTCTTTCAACTATCCATTTTTGTTAAGTATTGGTTTAATTCTCAGTCTGACTTGCCTGCCTTTTTCTCTTATCTCCAAATAACTAGATTGTAGAGAGTTCAGCCTTGGGATAACTCCCACCCTGACAACAAAAGCCCTTACTGCCTCAGATTCTTCATCAAGCTCCTCTCTCTCTCAGTTTCTGGGATCTGTGCTGGACTATAGTGTAGTCCTGCCTCTAATGCAAGGAGGAGAGAACACTCAAAATATTATCCATACACTCCGCAAGTTCTGCTCCTTACTGTCTGAACTCCACTGACCCTGGCATGGACCCAGGAACCATAGGACAAGACCTCCGCCGCCCTATGAATGACAAGAGAATCTATATTCTGAAAGATTTTGGCTAAAGCATACCTCCTTCAGCCCCCAACTCCCCCAGCCTCTTGGGAGAAATCAACACACTGCATGAATGGCTAAATCCCATGCTTAAACCTTCTGGAATATTCTGCTGCCTTCACTACTCTTCACTAGCTCTGTTTCCTGACTCTTGATTCTTTTCCTAGCTGCCCTTCATTTTCATTAGAAAGAAAGAGAGAAAGAAAGAAAGAAAAAAAATGAGGAGGCTTAAAAAATTCATGGCAAATTGTAATGAAAAGAAAATGGAATTTTCCCATAAACTTTTTGAAACCCTCATGTGTATATTTAGAGACAGAGCAGACAAGGATGGATATTGTAGTTTCAGGGTCCAAAATTGTGGCTTACAAACATTCCAAACAAATGTATCTCACATGATGGATGTCTTTTGAGAAAAACTATGAAGGTCAGTTGGAGATGAACTGACATAGTGGCAATAATGACTTGGGTACACAGAGGGTCTAGGGCAGACCACTGATTCAAAACTTACTGTCCTTGAAAGCCCTGGTGCCTTGACCCATGAATTTCTTCTCATAGGATGCCCTTCTTTTCCATTTCTCCCACTGGCTCTGTCTAACTTTAGTGTTTCATGTACCAGTGGGCTGCGTATCCACCTCAGGGACCTGAGTTGCCAAGGAAATAGGCTGAGCCCATCCATTGTTTGCCACTCTCTAGCCTAGGTGAAGTTGCCCTGGAAACAAGAGACATCCATGCAGCGTACCCAGCAGAGGGTGTGTTAAGTGTGTGATATGCTGAGAATAATTTGCGTGGTAATAAAATGTCATCCATGAAAGATCCATCGAGTTGTTCAGATCCTCCTCCACTGCCTAGACTCCTTTCCTCTTTATTATGGTTCTCCTTGGGGTGAACATGTATGTTATTTTCCCTTCTGATCCTTCCAGTTTTCTGAGTGGGCAGACTGTCAGAACAGAATGCTCTTGGTGTTCTTGGTCTTTGGAGATGAGTTTATGAGTTTCAAGGACAGAAAGCAAACTCCAACAGGAGGGCAGTGGTGGTGGGGGGGAGGGGAAGGGGCGGGGGAATCATCATCTGAAGGCTTGAGCTCACAGAAGTGCCTACTTTGAGAGTTTCTGGCCAAAGGAGCGGTTAATTGATACTCTGAGTGCCAAGATGGGAGTGTTGCTAGCAGTCACGGAATCAAGGTAAAAGTCTCAGATTTCCTTCCCAGTGCAGTTGATCCCTGATTGTCTCCAGGCATTCTGGTTTTTGATTTCCAGAAACACCAGAGACTTTTCAAGTTTCTCTTTAAATGTCATCAGGTTCCCTAAAAGTGTCCTATGGTGACATCTTGTTTGTTTTTTCATGGGAAAGCTGAAGTGATAGTTGTTGTTGTTTTGTGCCATGGAGTCGGTTCCGACTCATAGCTACCCTATATAGGGTTTCCGAGGCTGTAAATCTTTTACGGGAGCAGACCGCCTTATTTTTCTCCCGCGGAACCACTGGTAGTTTCAAACTGCTGACCTTGCGGATCGCAGCCCGATTCATAACCACTACGCTACCAGAGTACTGGACATGTAACCCAGCCAGTCCCACTCTAGTACTCTCTTCAGCCTGATCTAGGGGCAAGCATCCCACTGTTAGGCTGGTACAGGAATTTCTGTGTTTCAGTAGTTACTGGAGCTCCTGATTCATCCTGAGTGGAATTCACCTTATGGTGGGGAAGCTAAGAGATAGCTGGAAATTTGGAGGGTCAGAAGAGCCTGGGTTTGGAGGGCAGTGTTCATTAGCCAAATTCTGCCCCAATTCTGAGAATTATCTAAAGATAGACTGTTTTTTGTTAGGCATCAGACAAAAACAAGCCATCTCCTGATGTCTTGGTTGAGTTGTGTTTATTTTTCCATCAAGTCCCCAGGGTTGCTGAGAAGTTCCAAGAATTGCAGCCTGAACTTTTGTCTTGCCCCCAGGTTTTCTAGGGTGAGCACAGCTCAGTGGAGAAGCAGATCTGCATGGCTCAGACAAATTAAAATCTTTAAGCCTCCATTTTTTTCTCCCCATAAAATAGACGTATTAATCCTATTTGCTCATAAAGTTGATGTGAGAAATACATAAATAAATGTAAAGCATTTAGCACAGTGTCTGGCCCTTGGTTCATGTTAGCTGTCATTATTACTAGTCCCAACACTGGGTCTTTTTCTTAATAAAAGGATACAATTATGCCCTCCCAGCATAATTGTTGTTAAGTGCCATCAAGTCAGTTCAGACTCATAACAAGGGTTATATAACTCATTGGGTTTCCAGTGTTGTAAGTTTTTGCGGAAGGAAAACTCTAATTTTTCTCCTGAGGAGTGACTGCTGAACTTGAACCGCCAACCTTGTGGCTTGCAGTCCAGTCACAGCATAATAAATTCTACAAAACTGGCACTGAGCTTGACTTCATTCTCTCGCTGGTATGGAAAAGCTTGTCTGGGCTTTAGAAACAAGGGTTCTTTTTCGAATCTTCCAAAAATGGATGAACACAAAAATTCTCCTCTTTCTTTTCTCTGTCTCACATATCCTTCTGGTTATCTTCCATTCTGCCTTCCTCCTCTTCAGTTTTCTTTCTCCAAAAAGATCACTGTTTTGTAGCTAATGTTCTTTTTGTTTGGCTGACAATATGCCTGGTCTTTAGTACTTGTGGTTGCAATTGTTTTTAAAAAAAGCATAGCAAGTTACCATTGCTATAGATTTCATCTCTCTGAATCTCTTAGGGTCTTAGTTTCGACTTGTAATTACCCCTCCTGCCCTGCGAGCCCTTACAGTATCATCATTAAAAAAAACAAAAAAACCAAAACAACTTTAATACTCAGAGGAGAACGTGAATGAATCTTCTATTTAAAACCTTGTCCTTCCCAGCCCAGTGTTGCCACAGTTCTTGCATTTTGAAGAAATGGACAAGCACTGAAAGCCTTATCCAAGGCTAGAGTGCAGCAAAACCAGGCAGAATAGATTGTGTTTTTGTTGGCTTAATAGCCCCAGCAAGTATAAATATAGGTTGAGGCTAATAGTATTAAGTCAGTTAAAAAAACTCAAACCAAACCAAACACAGATTGAGGCTGTTGCAGGCAGCACTGTGATGATAAAATGAGAAACAGTACTGCAGAGTAGGAACCAGGGCTGGCATCCTGCCATTGCTAGTTAGCAGTTGTTCAACGTCAGACACATCCTTTTATAGTTGGTGGGCCTCTGTATCCTTGTCTGTAAAATGAGCTAGATAATAATGCTGAGCTCTGACAGGTTGC